TCTTCCTCAATCTCGGGTCCTCTACCAGAGGCCTGGGAGTTTGAGGGTTCTGCGCAGTATCGTAGCTGTTCCTGGCAGTGCACTCTTCTGGACAGAGAGCTCTGATGTTGTTTCTGGGATCTGTTGGAGCCCCTCTCCCAGCGTAGGAGTCACGGCCCCGAGTGCTCCTACCACCACTGGGACCCCTTTGGCCTTGACTTTCCACATCCTCTCTACTTCCCCCTTCAGGCCCTGGTACTTCTCCAGCTTCTCATGCTCCTTCTTCCTGATGTTGCTGTCACTTGGCATCATTACATCTATCACTACCGCTGTCTATTACCATGATGTCTGGCCGATTGGCCTGCCTGCCTGCCTGTCTGGATCTGGAAGTCCCACAGGATTTTAGCCCTGTTATTCTCCATGACCTTCTGTGGAATCTCCCATCTGGACTTGGGGGGGGTGTCTCGCCCATACACTGTGCAGACGTTCCTGTACACAATGCCAGGTACTTGGTTGTGCCATTCAGTGTATGCTGTTCCTGCCTGCATCTTACACCCTGCCACTATGTGTCGGACTGTCTCCGGGGCCTCTCTGCACAATCTGCCCCTTGGGTCTGTCTAGTGTGGTAGACCCCTGCTTCTATGGATCTGGTACTTAGTGCCTGTTCTTGGGCTGCTATAATCAGTGCCTCAGTGCTGTCTTTTAGTCCAGCCCTACATATATACTTACATATACCTACATATAAGGCATCTGACTGGATTATAATAAAGTGGAGTGTTCCCTGTCTTGGGATTCCTACTCACCCACCCGCAGTCTTAAGAGACTTAGAATGTTTCCTGGGCTTTGTAAATGTACCATTTTTTTATATTAACTACACCGATCACAACTTTTTCTTAAAATAAAGAGGCTCTTTTAAGTGGGTTTCTGATGCTCGCTGTGCATTTCTCTTACTCAGACAACTGTTTGCTCGCCAGCTTATTCTTCACAACCATGGATTGCTGGGGTGTGGCAGTGTTGGGGCAACTTTCTGACACCAAATGGGCTAAGTATTTCTTCATTGGCATTTGAGGAGGCATTTAAGTTGCTTTTGTATGAATATTAAGGGTTTTGTACTAGAAGTCAAAATAGAATTTAATTTAATTTAATTTAATTTAATTTAATTTAATTTAATTTAATTTAATTTAATTTAATTTAATGATCTATGCTTGAATTACGTTTTGGGAGATCTTGAGAAAGATTTTCTCTTAAGGGTAACCAGCACATCTCTTGCCCATAAGAAAACATGGGCATATTGAGGTCTCTTATAAAAGCTGGATGAGGCCCAAAGCATTTATGTTGCAATGAGGTCTGTATGTGCAAGACTACACTGAAAAAGCCCACTCCCAAGTGCTCCCCAGGTGGATTGATGTCCATGGTGACTATGTAATCAGGGGATCTTATAAAATTAAGGAACTTTTGTCTGAGAATGATTTTCCTGGTGGTCTGGTAGCTAAGAATTGTGGGGGAGATGGGCGGGGGAGAATTCCAATAAATAATGAATAAGAATAAGAATGTAACTCTGAGCAATTTCAATTTGCGCTGAAGACATTGGAAGGATAAGGCCACCTAGAGTCACATAAAAGTGAGATGGGAGGCTATATAAATCAAAGAAATAAATAAAGTTCAGATTCATTTTAGTCTAATTCTTTGAAAAAATATTATGTATTTTTACATTTTTACTTTGCCCCTTAGATAAACAGCACAGGGTCAGCATTTCCCACCAGTCAATAAAAATGAGGAAAGCATAAGGAAATTTCTGCATAGGAGATTGTCTTGGATGCTCTGTCCTAATCCAACTTGGAAGGAAGAGGATCTAAGAGAGTTGTGCATACGTAATGTCCAAGGAAAAACTTCCCTCAGGAGAAAAAGGAAGGACAGGTGAGCCAAAGGGATGCATAGGTGCACACACACAAAAAAAGTGCAGAAGTAGCTGGGAAAAGAATTCTGCTTTCTGCTGGTCTCCACTTTTGTTCTTTTTCACAAAGCAGGCTCAGAAGATCTCAGTTCCATTCTATCTTTTTTTGCTGGTGGAGAAAACGCTAAAGCAACCAGAGACTGAGAAAAGTCCACCTTTAATGGGGTTGTTGTGAGTTTTGTTCCTTGCATAAAAATGACAGGAGCCTCTGAGCCCCTATGAAAGCAAAGGGAGGGGAATAGCAGCACAGGAGGCCAATGATAAGCTCGGCAGGAGAGAGCGATGCAAAGTGCCAGCATGAAGAATCGGCTCACTGTCAGCAGAAGGATGCTGCTCCCCCAAGTGTTCCTCTCACTGCTTTGGCTTGGATCTGGGAAGGTAGGAGATGGGGATTTCATCTGCCAGCAGTCATTTAGCTGTTTAATGTCGTATTGACCAGCTCACGGTGCCTGGGGAAATATTGTTTAGCCATCTGGGCAGCTCCAAGCTCATGGAAAGGCTTGCTAATTGAGCTGTGGCACTGGAAGAATTAGGGATTAATTTTACATCATGAGAATAATGCAAAAATTAGGAAAATAATTTACATTGGGATTTGCAAACTATTCTTCTTCATGCTCCACACATGGCAGCTTCTTTCTCTCTGATCTTGACTGATTAACCATGATCAAGCATGTGCTCCGAATCATTATAATAATATAATGCCAGGATCTGAAAAGATACCTAACTTTCCTACTCATGTTTTTTCCTCCTATGCATGCAGGAGGAGAAAAAACTGCAAAGAAGGGTGTTGCTTCCCAGCAGTACTGAATTACTGCATCTAAATCCAGGCTAGGCTATGCAATGACTTCCTCAGTAGCAGCTCCCTCCTTCGATGCAGCCTTTCCTCTCTGGACGCTGAATGCAAACAGGCTGCCTGTCTCCTCTTCGCTTTGTGCAAGTTACTGTATTGATGTGCTTTAGTTAGTTTATATACAGCAATCTTTATTCAGATTATTAAATAACAATGAACCCACATGAGATAAGCCACAGAGACAGAATTACAAAGGCATTTCTAAGTGCAAAATAACCCCCTTCATCCCAAGCTCTGCAGGTGCCACTGAACATCCCTGTCCCTTAGCCCGTCTTCCCATTAAGTCAGTGATGCGGTCAATGAACAGAGGTCCCTGCACCAGCTGCAGGTCAAGCAAAGGGCAGAGCAGCCGGCAGGCATTGGAAATAAACTGCTGAAATAATCAGCTGCTCTGAAAAATGATGAGTAACAAATCGAGGGTGTTTTACTGAAATAAAAACTCCAACTAAGAAGTGAGAGTGGAAAATCTCCTGTTTAAAGTTCCAAGTTTAAGGGACTGCAAAACTTGATCCAAGCTGAAAGAGTTGCTCAAAACCACCTGTCTTGGGATTAGTAATCATGCAGCATTAGTTTGCTGCATCAAAAATAATAAAAAGTCTTATGGCATTTTAAAGAACAGTGTCTTTATAGTCTGAATCCCAAGGGCTTCAATCTTTTTCCTTCTTGGTAGCCACTACCAATATTTGATAACTTTTAAGTGCTGTAAGACCTGTTTCCATATCTTTAATGGGATTTCAGGGCATAGAAACTTCATTATAAAATCTAAATAAAATAATACATTTTCTATGACTGCAAAGGCTGATTAGACAAAATTGCAAATGTGTTGCAATGGATTCCAAAATAAAATTGAATGAGCAAAATTCTAAAAAAAAAACCCCAAAATCCTCTTTCAATGCCACTTTGCTTGTTTGGTCAAGAAACACAGTCAGCATAGTGTAGGAGTGTCCAAAGTGTTGGCGTTGGACAAGAAAGATACAGATTTAAGCCCCCAACTGACCATAGCTCAGCCGGTGACTTTGGGTCATTCATCTTCCCTTAGTTGGCCCTATTTCACAGGTTGTTGGGGAGATAAAATTAAAACATACTCCCAGATAAACAGATTTGAACCTGTAGACAAAAGAGGAATAAAAATGCAGGCAATCAAGCCATCTTTGCATACTGATTCCGCACTTGTCTTGGAAGCCTATTATATTTGGCCAAAAATCCTAGGAAGATAACAGTCATACTGTTTGAGTTGGGCGGCTTTATAAATCTTGTTAATAAATAAAAATAAATAAAACCTTATATTTATCCATTTACAGGGCGCATTCCTTTGTCCTGAAATGCACCATTCTTGAGAATCAAATCACTAATCCAAATCCAAACACAGATAATTAATTCTGCATTCTTTGTTCAAGGAGAACTAGCAAACATATGCATTTTCTGATCTATTGAAAAGCATTTTTGTTATTTTGTCTAGATTATTAATACTTCAACTGTATACAACAAATGTCAGCATTAAGCATTCATTGTGAGAGTAGTTTGGCTTCTCAGCTTCTTCTCCTTCTCCTTCTCCTTCTCCTCCTCCTCCTTCTCCTTCTCCCATGCCTTAAAAAGAAAATGCTTTCTAGGTTTGATCACGTTTTAGGTGATTTCTACCTACTATTGTCTCCAAGTTCTAGAGATTTTAAAATGGTCCAACAGTCATGAGTTTTACTTTTATTTACTGAGTATGGTTAGTGAAAACACACAGGTATGCTGAGCAACCATGTGTTCTTAAGTCTATACTAATAGTTACAGTAAAGCATGTGTTGTAGTTTCACCCAATCTGTATACTGTATGGCCACTTTCACAATGCTGAATGTTGGGATCACCTGCCACAATGGTTCCAACATGTGGTCCATGAGTGTAGTGCTGATAAAGGTAAGACACTAATACCTTCACATACTACAAAGCATTTGACAGTCTTCATGAAATTCTAGTACAGATGATGAGAAAATGTGAGGTTGACTTTGTTGTCCCAGAAGAGAAGACAAGAAGCAGTGGGTCTAAATTAAAAGGAAGGAGATTTGGGCTGGGCATCAGGAAGAATCTCTTAATGGTGAGAACTGTTTGGCAGTGGCCATCTGTTGGGAGTGCTATAATAGATATCATTTGTATTATGATGTCTGGCATTGAGAAAGAGATTGGTCTAGATGATTTCTGAGGTCACTTCCAATTTTGTGTGTGTGTGTGTGTGTGTGTGTCTTTGAGTCATTCTTGACTCCTGGCGACTGCCTGGACTAGTTCCTGCAGTTTTCTTGGCACGATTTTCAGAAGTGATGTGCACTCACCTGCTTCCTAGGGCTGAGAGAGAGGGACTGGCCCAAGGTCACCCAGATGGCTTTGTGCTTAACGTGGGACTAGGACTCACAATCTCCTGGTTTCTAGTCTGGTGCTTTAACCACTACATCATTACTAGCTCTCCTTCTAACTTTTAACATTAATATATAAACATACGAGCAGAATCCCAAGAGACCACCAAATCTTGTAAGATTTTAGCATTCGTTTTCAAAGTCTCACAAGATCTCTAGCAGCAGCAAAAACTTTTAAATACTGTAAATATGATGGTCTCTTGAGATTTCCACCATTTAACTTAAAATATATTTATTTACTGGGGAGTTCCACAGATTCCTCCAAGCAGTTAGCTTATTTATTTATTTATTTAGTCTCCCACCCATCTCCCCCCAATGGGGGACTCTGGA